TTGGAGCTCAATATTGTTCCCGACGATTGGAGACGAGTAAGGGTGATAGCCATTAAAAAGCCTGATAAACCCGCGTCGGATCACAATTCGTATCGGCCCATCGCGATGCTGTCGTGCATTCGGAAATGGATGGAGAAAATGATCCTTTTTCGCCTCGACAAATGGGTTGAGACGAACCACCTTCTTTCAGATACTCAATTTGGTTTCCGTAGGGGCAAGGGAACGAACGACTGTCTCGCATTGCTTTCCTCGGAAATTCAGTTAGCTTTTGCTAAGAAAGAGCAAATGGCTTCTGTGTTCTTGGATATCAAGGGGGCTTTTGATTCAGTATCCGTTGAAGTTCTTTCAGAGAAACTCCACGCTTGTGGATTGTCTCCATTAATGAATAATTTTTTGTACAATTTGCTGTCAGAAAAACATATGAGCTTTTCTCATGGAAACTCTACAGCTTTTCGATTTAGCTACATGGGTCTCCCCCAAGGCTCATGTTTAAGCCCCCTTTTGTACAATTTCTACGTTAGAGAAATTGACAATTGTCTTGCACGTTTAGACAACTTACAGATGACGGAGTAGTGTCTATGACAGGGCCCAGAGAGGCCGACCTGCAAGGACCCTTACAGGATACCTTGGACAATTTGTCTACTTGGGCTATTCAGCTAGGTATCGAATTCTCCACGGATAAAACTGAGTTGGTCGTTTTTTCTAGGAAGCATAGCCCAGCACAACCGAAGCTTCAACTTTTGGGTAAACCGGTCACTCATTCCATGTCTTTTAAATATCTCGGGGTCTGGTTCGATTCCAAATGCACCTGGAGATCCCACATTGAGTATCTGAGACGAAAATGCCAACTAAGGATCAATTTCCTTCGATCAATTACTGGAACGTGGTGGGGAGCCCATCCACAAGATCTTCTGACGTTGTACCGGACAACGATTTTATCGGTTCTAGAATATGGTAGTTTTTGTTTCCAGTCGGCAGCTAAAACGCACATCATCAAGCTGGAACGGATCCAGTATCGTTGTCTTCGTATCGCGTTAGGATGCATGCACTCGACTCATACTATGAGTCTCGAAGTGCTGGCGGGCATGTTGCCACTATCCGTCCGTTTTTCAGAGTTATCTCTGAGGCTCCTCACCCGTTGCGAAGTAATGAACCCACTGGTGATCGAAAACTTTGAGAAGCTTCTGGAGCTAAATCCTCAAACATGTTTTATGACTTTGTACTACCTATATTTAACACAGGATGTCAGCCCTTCAAGAAATATTCCCAATCGTGTAGTCTTCTCCGATTTCGGCAATTCAGTGAATTTTGATTTATCTATGACGCAGGAAATCCACGGAATTCCAGAGCATCATCGTCCTATGATTGCTCCGTCATTATACTCTGCAAAGTTTGGCCATGTTGATTCTGCAAGAACGTTTTTCACAGATGGATCTCTAATAGAGGAGTCCGCTGGTTTTGGTGTATTTAATGAATTTCATAGCGCCTCTCGAAAACTTGAAGCTCCTTGTTCTGTGTATGTGGCTGAACTGGCAGCAATTCACTACACTTTGGAAACTATTGCTTCACTTCTTCCAGACCACTACTTTATTTTTACGGATAGTCTCAGTTCTGTCGAGGCTATCCGTTCCATTAGGCCGGTAAAGCACTTCTCGTATTTTCTCTTGAAAATACGAGAACTGCTTAGTACTTTATCCGTGCGCTCTTTCATCATCACCTTCGCACTTGGCACTGCTTTCGGTACAGCTCAATACTAAGCATGGATTGAGGTGTTCAGAGTTGAATACCCCTTTTTAGACCTTTTTGTGTTTTAAAATAAAATAAGATTAGGAAAAGTTAATTAAACGGAAAAGAATTGTCACAAGTACCTATTTTTATTTCATGTGTGCTAGAATGTATGAGCTAGAAAGAAAATAACAAAACATACCCTCCCCATGGAAATGGAGGTTGACGGTACTGAAGCAAAGGGTTATGTTTAATTTCTTTATATTTGCAGCGATGATGATTTCCTATAGTGACGAATATCACCTTCTTAATGCTTCAGTATGCCTCAAACGATTAATTCTTGGTTGTTAATAGAACTTCCTTGATGCAATCGGCTGCTTCATGCAGACTAAGCAATTCTGATTATAGTATCAGATTTGTTCTGTTTACAGAGGAATTGGGAGGGCTTATTAGAAACTTCTCACCAATAAAGTAATGATCTTCTAGTAAATTTTGCATATAATTTTATTAATATTTTATTTTATTTAAGCATATTATTTTTGTTACAGTCAATTAGCATTAGCATACGATACAAGGGATTTAATATTACTTGCTCGTTTTTGCGTAAAATAATCAAAATTTATTTTACTTGTAATTATCTTTGAAAGTTTTTTCAAGTTTTTTTATGTGATCTGAAAATTTTCCCAGTTTGGTTAGAACCTTCGAAGCTAACGCATGTCTACAGGCCTAATAGAAAGATAGGCAGACAACTTGCTATAGATGAGTGATTTTCGGAGTTTTTAATTCGTTAGATGTTGTAATGGGGATTTGTGTTGTTGGATGTGGGAGGAAATTGGAGGGCGGGTGTTTGACGCATGGAGCCTGTCAATTTTGCTTTAAGAGTGTCACAGTCAGCGGTTTTATGATTCGTGAGCGCTCGTGATTCGTAGAATCGTTGATTGTGACTGCAAGTGGATTTGGCGGGTTTTGTGTGTCAGACGCTTGCTTTTTGGCCTCTTCTTGTGTCTTAAATGTGCAAAGTATCATTATAGCGTCTCATGGTTTTGAGATTCCTGGTTGCAAAATATATTTGTGAGAATATCTTTTTGAGATTTTAGTAGTCACGTTTTGTTTGAAGTTTATATTTCATTTATTTCATGTAATTATCGTAAATAATAGTTATTCAACAATAGATAGTGCATCCATATATTCGTACTTTGATGCGAAGCGCTGTGGATCATGAGATGCTCGATGACCCTGGAGGGATCGTTTTTGCTTACTGAGCAGAAAATCATGAGTTTAATCCCAAGCTCTCCGTCATGACTCTTAAAATCCATGATCACTAAACAAAATGAATATGTTCTTTCGATAGCCGGCTATCGAGAGATTAAATAAACAACAAATAAACAATACATCCTTTTGGTTGCATCGCCAACTTGAGGTGAATCCTAGCCGAATACCCTACCCAACCCTCCAACTCCGTAGCACTTATGAGGGTGTCGCTAAGTCGGTGGCCTCTCGTTAAGTAAGTACTACATCAACATTTCCTTCCCTATCCCTAGTAATGGTAAAGATGGGCGTGGCCGGGAATAGCGACAGTCATGCTTCTGTTACTCTTGTTTAGATTGGAACCAATGTTTACTCCTCAGCATTATTCCTGAAAGTAGTCTAACTGAGAATTTCAGAAGAGACGTGAGTGTCGCTAGTATCCAATCTATGAAGTATATCATAACAACGCTAACGCTAACGCTAGAAAGAAGATAACAAATCATAAGGGGGGGTTAGCAAGAAAAAATAGACCAGGGGTGGTTAAGACGGCTCTGGTGCCGCATGATGGGTCTGGCGCGTTTCAGGTCGATTCTAGTCTCACAACTTGTATATTTGCTGTGTACTGTGCACTGATTAGAAAGTAAAAACGCTAAAAGGCACAAGATACCTAAAACTTTTCAAAATCGTTCAAGTGAACATTAAAAAAAAATCCCAGAACAAAAACGACCATCACTCAACGACAGGCGACCCACCAAAATTCCTCACAACGACAAACATAATTGAAAAGTATCCGTGCAAGTTCCCTCCTCCCTGATTTACGGAAAGTTAAAAAGCCATCGGCATCAAAATATTCATCCATCACTTCTGGTGCCCTTCGTCGCCCACTGTCTGCTGTTATGCACGGTTGGCACCCCAGAGTTCAAACATATTTGCCCACCAACCGGAAAAAAACGGACAGCGACGGGAGAAATATCAACCGGAAACTTTTCCACCGCCGCAAAGATCCTCGCCTCCGGGCAGTGGAGAATGAAAATTGCAGGAAATTTCGGACTTGTGTGTAGAAAGAGTTAAAACTCAGGACACGATTTCATTTTCACTCAATCACTTTTCTATATTTCTTGGCGAGATATGTTTGACCTCATCAATCCTAACAGCTACCGTTCGTTAGTTCTGTTTGCTCGTATAAAATTGTTGTAACGTGAATGTATGCTCCTTCATACCTGTGCTGTGGAAAATCTCATCAACGTGAATAGCAAAGAAGAAGAAAAAAACGTACGGTCTTCTCAGAATATAACTTCGAATTCAATACAGGATAATATGAAACTGACTACGTGGGATATGTATGTATTATTATGCTCATGTCCACCGCAGTGGAAAGTTGCAGCTGATTGACTAACTCTTGTCTATTGGATGTAAGCGAACTGTAAATATTTGGTACAACGGATGTTCGATGGATATACAATAGCCTTAAAGAATAGCAATGGGAAAATTCAATTAGGGACAGGATCTCTTAATATCTACTCGATTCTTTGGCATGTAGCGCTTCGCTTCGCTTTTCAAAACGACTTGTCGCAGCCTGATAGTCATTTATCGCTTAAATTACTTTACAGATTCGATTTTCTCCTGCACAATCACTACGTAGGTACCCTATCCTATCTGTCTAGTAGCGAAGGAGGAGAAAAGTTACGTTGATTGGGGCGAGAGAAAAAAAAATGATACACCTTCTTACAGTCGATTGTCTGAGGAGTTTTTGATTTTATTTGGCTTGAATTACTTGAATCGCTTTGTTCTATTTCATTTCTACATTTGGAGATGCTCGTTTTTTTTTGGGTTTGCGCTAGTTGGAATAATGCCATTTGGTATATGACCTTCTATGTCAAAGTATCAAACGACGTAAGAATTATACCAAAAAAACGGAGGGATTCGCAGGACATCCCCGGTCGGTTTGGAGAAAATAACCTCTCTTTGATTGATCTTCCAGCGGGAAAAACAATACATGTATATACGAAAAGCAGCAAAAGGGGAAAAAACATCAAATAAAATCGATTTAATAACATTAATAACGGTGACTAGGACGAAACAAATGTAATAATAAAAGTTGTCATTTTGGCGCGCCATTTCGATTTCCCCCGAATTGGTTGGTGTGCGTGCGAATAATCGGTGACAAATAGCTGTTTTGATCGTTGTTTTCGATTTGTTCCCAGGCAACGCCGCACCGCAGGGACTCATCTTCCGCATTAATTCGATTGCCGTTCGTTCAGATATAGATGAAATTCCCCACCCCCTTCATGGGATCGGTGTTGACGGCCTCCTTAACGACGGTACTTCTCGTCACATTCCCCGTCATGCTGGCCGTGCTGGTCCGGGAATCGATCCGCTCGATATCCACCAGCTTTTTGTCGATTCCGAGTGATGAGAACGAGTTACACACGGTCCTTATCTCACGGATGTTGTACACCGGGCTGTACGAAGGTGCGTTTGGGGCCATCAGCAGCGATGAAGGCAGCAGCGAGGCTTTAGATGGCCGTGGCGGTGCCTGTAGGCACCGGTCGACGTTGCGGGCCTTGACTGCTGGAACGGCATTGGCATCGATGGCACCGTCAACCACGTCCACCGATCTACTGTGTTCGCACTGCTGTTGTTCCCCGCTGTATTCGCCTGCACTGGATTTGCTGCACTGCAGGCAACAGCTTCGTTCGTCGTTGTTGTTGTCTTCACTCGTTCGACTACTACTACTACTCGAACTGCTACTGCTGCTGCTGCAGGACGAAGACGACGAAGACGAGGACGCGGACGAGGACAGGCAGGATTCCCTTAGGGCCAAGCTTTTCGACTCCTTCAGATTGCTCAGTGAGGAAACTCCATCGACAATGTCCGAGATGAGGGTGTTGGTCGGAGTGGTGACGGCACTGATCGGGAAGGTCGACGAATGCAGCGATAGCCGGTGCTGCGTCAGCGACGACGGGCCGATGATGAAGTGTTTGTTGGACTCGGAGATGGGTGCTAGCATTTGGCGCCGTCGCGGGTAGTTCGGGTTCCGGCGCACCAGAAAGTGCATGATTTCGTTCTTCTGTTGGCGTTGGAGTTGCGTCTTCAGGGGGAGATCGTCCGGATGGAGCTTTCGTTGGTATTCCTGACCGGGGCACACTTCGTACAGGCTGAACTGTTCGACCGGTTCGATCGAGTTGTAGCAGGACAGGAGCAGCGCGAGCAGTTCATCCGAGGTGGTTTCTTCGGAGATGAGCAGGGACTTGTACTGGGAGTTGGGCTGCAGGGCCGATGTGTGAACCCGAATTAGACCGCCAGGTTTTTGTTGGAGGCAAAATCTGGAATGGGAGAAAATGAAAGGGAATGGTATTAGAAGGATTGTTCAACGGATTGCTGCTACTGGGGTAGGTGTACCATGCTGTACGTTCATGTTATTCAGAAGGACTACGCCAACTGACGCATCGGGAAAAACTTGACCTCTCCGATTTGCATGAAACTTTGTATAATTGCTTATTATGGGCAATGATGCACATTTTTGCTAAAATACGGCCATTTAGGATCTTGTAAACTTGTGTTGTTTTAGTTTGAAGCGAACCCCCACCCGGATTGCAACATAAGAGCTGTCAAACTGATAGTTTGAACGCCAGTTACCACAGGGAAAACGACTAGGTTCGAACCCGAACTTTTTTCGAGGTTCAGCAGTTTCACGCATAAATTCAAAACTTAAGGTATGGGTGAAATGTCAAAAAGGTAAACAACAAAGAATCAGTCAGTCAGAAAATAATGAATTGATATGAACTTCTAGATAAACAATTTACCTTACGATGGTATTCGGGTCTTTTTCGGCCCAAACGCGCTGTTTAAATGACTGTATCTCTGAAGCCAAAATCTCGATGAACTTGAAACTTGGCAGTCTGTAAATTCACAGAAATGTCTGTAAATCTGGCATCTCTGCGCCAAATTCACACCCTAGACAAGTCACGAATGACCCAAGAGCGTTAAAGTGCCTATGATAAAACAAAAACACATTTCGTTGTTCAACATTTGGAATATTTCTTTTAGCTTAGGTTCCTGAAAACCTCTCATGTTCCAGAATCTTGGAAAGGTCTCCATGTCCTGAATATTGAATCTAAAATAAAACTTCTTGAATATCTAGCACATCTAGAATTTTAATCTATTTTTAAATCTCGGATCTTAATTAATTGTTCTGCGTCCAGGATCTCGGAAAATATCAATGTTTGTGTTGGATGAGTTATTTTAGAAATCCTTCAAGCGAATCCTTTGATTTTGGGTTGGAAAATTGCTAAAATCTGATAATATATTTAGTACACAATTCAATAGACACATTTGCCTATAATTACATCTAGTTAACCTCTATTTCTCTTCAAATACAATTCTTAGTTGTATTAGTTCTACTTGTTATGTAATAGTAATAGTAAGAATGTATCCAATTCATTGAAGGGTTCATACATATAAATTGTAAAGAGATAACTTTAATAAGTATACAAATTCACTAGATTTCAACTGGTAATTTAAGGAGTAATACCAGTGATGGAAAAGTTCATCAAAGTTCTACTAAACGATTGTCTTCCTGTCAACGATTGTCACATTATGCCTCTGTACATGACTTACGATCAGGGCCCCACAAAGTCACTTTCAATCGAAAATCATGAAGTGACGATGAAGCTGTAAACCATCACTTTCAATTGAAAGTCATTCTGTCTTCTCTTCGAGCAGATCCCCGTCAACATCAACAGAACCACTTTCGATCAGTTTTCATGCTGTTTGTTTTGGCTTGACTCGTGTTCATTTCTTCTTTCATTGTCAAATGAACTTACTTTTGCATTGAAGCAAAACTGTTAGGTCTAAATTCGCGCAGCTTTTATGACTTTTGTTGATTGTTCACTCGGTTCATTTAAGTGTATGCACATAGATCTGTGCACGTTGATGTCAAATTTTTCACTGTCGGGTGGTTTGTTTACCCATCAATATGGGCATTTTTTTAATCGGTGTGACGTCTAGGAATCGAAAATTGATATTCGACGCCATTTTGAAATCCAAGATGGCGGCTTCCAGTTTAATAAAAAGTGGTAAATACTATCAAATTCCTATCAATAAAGGTATTTTTGGAATCGGGATGATGTCTAGGGGATGAAAATCGATATCCGTCGACATTTTGAAATCAAAGATGGCGGCTTCCGGTGAAAAAAAAGTGGAAATACAGTCAAATACTCATCAATATTGATATTATTGTAATCAGTATGAAGTCTACAGATCGAAAATTGATATGCGACGCCATTTAGAAATCCAAGATGGCGACTTTCGATTTCAGAACATATGGGAAATATTGTCAAATTCCCATCAATATAGGTATTTTTGGAATCGGGATGGCGTCTAGAGCCTGGAAATCGATATCCGACGCCATTTTTAAATCCAAGACTACGGCTTCCGATTTGCGGAAAAGTGTCTAATAACCCAAAATATGGTTATTTTCAGAATGGGGATGAGACGTGGATGCCAAAAAATGATGTCACGCCGTCTTTAAATCTAAGATGGCGGCTTTGGTCTAGTCTAGTCTAGTCTACACATACACAGCCAGTACTTGAAAGAATCCTGGAAATGATACATCTATCATTTTTCTTGTCATTATTAATGCCTGCTGCACATCAAGGATGTGAAACAAACAATAAAGCGGCCAGGCCTACTGTGTAGCGTTTAAAAAAAATCTAAGATGGCGGCTTTGGTTCAGAAAAACTGTGAAATACTGTCAAATACCGATCAATGTGGTTTTTTTTTTGGAATCGGGGTGACATCTAGAAGCAAGAAATCGATGTCTGACGCCATCTTGAAATTCATGATGGTGGCTTCCGATTTCAGAAGAAGTTTTAAATGGCCTGCAAATGGCATCGAATATTGATTTTCAGCATCTACGCGTCGTGGGAATCGTTAAGGTCCCCGTTCTGAAAAATACCCTGATATTAGGGTATTTAACACTTTTAATGAAACCTAATGGTCGCCATTTTCGGTATCTACACGTTGTCCCCATTCCGAAAATACTCATATTGTAGGGTATTTGACGCTTTTTGAACCCTGATGGCCATATTGGATTCCAAAATGGTATCTGATACCGATTTTTCACATCTACTCGTTGTTCCCGTTCCTAAAATACCCATATCTTAGGGTATTTGACACTTCCAAATCCAATTGTCACTATTTTGAATTTCAAAATGGCGTTGGTTATCGATTTTCAGCATCTACGCGTCATCCCCGTTCCGAAAATACCCATATTGTAGGATATTTGAGACTTTTCCTGACACCGATGGCCGCCATCTTGGACTCCAGAATGGCCTTGTTAATTTAATTTACGTTTAACATAAAATAATAAATTATTACTATTTATAATCCGGATGCCATCCCTATCGGCAACCGATATTGTGCGGATACTATATTTTGTTGCTTGAAGACGCGATGAGTGAAAAATCGAATGAGCCCGAATTGAAGTGAAAGTGGAAAAAACGAAGGAAGCAGTGTTCGAGTCATTCGTTGCATCAATTAAAACAAATCTTTGTTTCAAATGAAATGAACTGAAGCACTTGACGAGCGAAACAAGCGATAGTCAAATAATGTTTGAAAGGAGTTATGTTCATCGTGACTCGATAACAAGAAACACAATGACTTACACGAAAATGATATTGCTCGAAATGAAGCGATTCGGCGGTGATCAAAATTACGAAAATAGTGACCAAATGGTGATTTTTAAATAATAAATAAGTAACCAATAGTGGCATTTGGTTTGATATTAAAATTAGTTTATTATGTCATGCAACTTAAAATTACCATTTCATAAATTCTTCTAATTATATTGAATCTCACAAATGAATTTCCTATTAAGAGCATTTGAAGTGATTTGAATAATTTCCTTTTGATTACGTTATACATGATGACTAACAAATAGCACTTTCCGGATTTTCCCGGATTTTTGACGTAGGACTACGTCTTTGATTTCTATATGGGGGTACACTTTGTGAAAACCGAAAATGGAACATGTAACAAATTAAGAAAGATTTTGAACGTTAATAACTCAGCTGCCCCTGGTCCAATTTCATTAATTTTATCACCAATCGATCAGAAATATGGCTATGCATTGATAACAATGCTTTCGAATGTTGATTTTCAACAAGAAACTATTGAAAAACTGGTAAATGTCCAGCATTGTCCAAAAGCGTCGAATTAACTAACAAATCCACCAATTACCTACATGCATATGCTGCTTCCCCAGCACAGTCGTCAGAGAGAAGTAAGTAGACGAAACAAGTCGAAGTGGCATTCGCCTTAGATCCTCGGGCGCGTGCGAATAGGGAGGATGGAATTGCGTAATATTTTGCACACTCATCGCCATATTCAGAACCAAACGAAAATTCTTCAAGATAACCACCATCCGTTGTCTGGCTCGCCGTGGCGGTATCTGACGTATCTCCAGTTTGATTTACGAGGTGTGCTGAAGGTGTTCCTGAAAAATGAGATCCGTGATGCTGTCACCTACACTAAACACGCCAAGCGTAAGCGGCCATGGATGTCATCTACGTTTTTGAAGTGACAGAGACGCACTCTGTTTGGTTTCGGAGGTTAAATCATCACCAACATTGGAAACAAAACGGTTCTTTTCAGGGCCACCAAGCTTATTACAGTAAAGAGTAGGAATAGAATTCATCTGCCTGTTTGTCCATATTCAGAATCACTGACCACACAAAATGCTCATGTAATCAAACTGGAAGCAGGGATACAAATTATTTTGATCAACCTTGATCAACTTTGAATCGCCACGGCCGGATATTTTAGATGGAAGGAGCAACAATCTAGCATCTAATTCGACGAAGACGGCAGGAAACATTTCTGGATCAACAATAGAATAGGGCCCATCAGCATTTGTAAGCAAACCGTTCCAAAGTCTCACAAATCAAAGGCCGCTCACACAAACCAACACCAACATCTTGTAGGTAGAAGTTTCCCCTATCCAATGATGGTGTTGGTTTGTGTGGGTGGCCTTCGCTTTGTGAGTAAAGGGCTTTGGAACGGTTTGTTTACAAATGCTGATGGGCTCTTTTCTATTGTTGATCCAGATTTGTGAAGTCGAGTTATTTACGAGTGTCGATGAAGAGAATCGATCAATGTAGATAGGACCTATTGAAAAGTGACGCGAGATTTGTTTTCCGTACTGAGCTCCAATGCTACCGACGCCAGGGAGGCAGCTCCCAGAGATGTTATGCCTTAGAACATGCCGGTGGCGCCGACTGAGATTGAACCCAGGCCTGCTGGGGTGAGAGGTAATCATGCTAAC